TTGGGAGTTTCCCTACCTCTTGAGCGATCAGCTATGTCTCAGAAAATATGTCCTATGTAGGATATGTTGGAAGTTGAAGCTTGTTTTAATTCTCGAAGGGTTCTCAGGACACTTTGAATATTAAAAGGTATTTTTCCTCACTGGTCAATAGAAGGATAATCTACAGAACTGTCCCCAGTGAGGAAATTTGTTTTGATTTTTGTCATCGTGATCATATATATTTTATGACATTTCTTGGCTGCTTTTCTGATGTTCACTTTTTAAAACTGGTATTAAGTTTAAATCCTCCAATGCAAATTTTTAGTTAGGATCTCTTTATATAATATCTTTCAAAAGTGTATCACTTTTTTTTTTTTTATATAGTTCTGGGTCTTTCAATGTTAAAGAATAATCATTGTGAATATCATTTACCTTATCATCTATAAATTTATAAATGAACATATAGAGACCTTAGCACCTTGAAAACTGCTTTTACATTTTTTACACTATGTTCGCGGTACCCTTATATTCTTATCATTTGTCTCAAGATATATAGACAGGAAGATGTAAGGATATTATTACTGGATGCTTTCTGTAAGATTATTTATTGATTTGAAGAATGAAGCAGCCTTCTCCAAAGTTTCTTTTTATTAATGATAAAGGAGCAGTCTTTAACAACATTATTATTACTATTATTCCAGTGTCCATAAAATAACATGCAATTTCAATGACTTACTCTTCTGGTTATCACGAAGTTTGTGAATTGGTGTGATGAAGATGATCAGTCACCACTTAAAAAACTGTATTGTGTTTACTCTAAGGTCTTCACATTCTTCTGTGAGAATGTGATGCCTCTCTGTCTTTTTTTTTTACATTTTCTCCAAACTTCTGTCTGAAAGGTCTTCAGTTTTAACTGAAATGCTTCAGTTTTGACAAAAATTCAGGTACAATGAAATCTAAGATGGTATTGTTAATTTTACAATGAGAGTAAATGGCCTGAATTCTGTTTTACCAAGTACTGCTTTGGCCCATAAAGGCTTAGTCAATGAGGTATCACTGACTGGTAGGAAAAGAATAAAAATTCTTCCTGAGGTAGGGTCCTACATAGAAATACAAAAGAAGGTAATATGGTATTGTATGCTCTGACTCATAGCGACCCCATAAGACAGAGTAGAACTGCCCCATAGGGTTTCCAAGGCTATAAATCTTTACGGAAGCAGACTACCTCATCTTTCTACCATGGAGCAGCTGGTAGGTTTGAACCATCAATCTTTTAGTTAGCAGCCTTAACCTCTGCTCCACCCAAGTTCCTTGAATTGTATGGTGGATTGTATTTATTTACATTTTAGTTAAGTCTATGGATCTAAAATGATCTTTTATTAAAGACAGAAAAATATGATGAAACCTACCAAAGAAAAATGTATGTCCAATATGTAAGCAAGAAATGATAGCTTTGCAAGCACTAAGGTATATATATCTATCTAAGGTGGGAACTCTGGTGGCGTAGTGCCTAAAGCATTTGACTACTAACCAGAAGGCTGGTGGTTCAAACCCACCAGCCACTCCTTGGAAGGAAGGTTGGGCAATCTACTTCTGTAGTGATACCACCTCGGAAATCCAAAGAGGGGTCATTATGTGTCGGATCCGACTCGACAGTAGTAAGTTTGGTTTTTTTGGTTTGCAATACTAACACATCCAAGTATCACAAGTATAAACTTATTCCACTAATGTTGTAAAAGCATTTAAGTTGGATCCGACTTGATGACAGTGAGTTTTTTTGTTTATTGATAGTTATCTTAAGCAATGTAGCTATTCTTTTAAATTCATAAATCAATCTGCAGCTTTGGGTCAACTGTATTTTAATTATGAGCATACCTCACATATTACTGAAATGGCAAACATTAAAATGCCAAAAGACCTTTCAGAAAAAATATACAGATGAGTCAAGTTCATTTACTAATTTCACTTTCCTGGCTTTTCACTGAGTACTGGTGATAAGCTAATTTGATTACTGAGAGTCACTGGTCTGGTTTAGCTGTATTTAGAGTGTGGCAGCAATTTTATTTAGTTCCACAGTAGCAAAGAATGAGTAAATGTATTTCCCCAGTCTCAGTACCTTACAACAACGATTTCCTATTTTTTGTCTTGGAACCCTTTATTTTCTTTTTTAAAAAAAAAGTCTCTTAGATTGGTAAGATTACCAATGAATTATAAGATTACTCATCTCTAAGGTCTTATCATTTCAGGATGACTTTTGTTTATGTGGGTTATATCTATTGATATTTATCAGATTAGAAATTAAAACGGAGAAATTATGTTTCATAGGCAAACATTCCATTAGCTATGAGAGCTATGTCATCAACACATGTCATGTATCTTCTGGAACATTCTACCTACACCTATGAGAGATGAGTGCAAAAGTAAATAACAACTAGAAATATTATGAAAACAGTTTCAACTTTATGGATGCCATGAAAGGTCCTGGATCACACTTCGAGAAATGCTGACCTATAACTTGGAGAAGCCACATTACATTGTTTCACTACAAGTTTTCTTATTCTTGTCTTTAAAATATGTAGTATCTATTTTTCCTTCTCAGGTTAGGATAACTTTCTTTGCATTTTAGTCTAGGAATTCTGTAACTTATATTTTGGATGATTTGCAGGTTACTGCATTTAGTGGATAACATGCTTAGTTTTTGTCTATTTTTCTTTTCCCTCATCCAATGTAAGTTAAGGCATCCCCTGTAATTTTCAGATTTTAGGTGTTTACTTTCTATCTCTGCTTTCTACTCTTCCTAGTCCTAACTTGAAGGCATTTACATTTTCTCTCCCCTCTTCTTTTTTCTTTTCTTCTTTGCTTGCTTCTCTCTTTTAAGATTTAGTTCACTCAGAACTTAGCTTTTATCACTATCACCAACCACTGACAATGTTTTGAAAGTTGTCAGCTGTTCTCCGTAATGTTAACTCTTAACAAATCTGTACTAATAGAATCATGGTGGAACTGTGTGCTTAAAGGTTTTCTAAGTGCTGCACTAGCCCATAAGAAACAAGAACTTACTGTGGAAACTTTTAACCAACCCATTTAAATTTATTTGTTAATGTAAATTACCAAAAAGACTAACATTGAATGATTTCATCATATAAAACCACTCAGCTTCTAGTAGCAATTTATTCACTCAAAAACTATCTACATCTAACTCAATAAAAAGGCATGTTCTTATTATTCATTGAGAGCTATACAACTGACCATATGCAAGGATTTCTTATAAGATCACAGATAATTTAATTCTCTTTTAATCACAGAGTGAATGGGCTTTATTGGTTTAAATGAAAGCAAATTTGTCAGAAGTATTTAAAGGAATCATTCTGAAATAACAGACATTAGAGGTCAATAATCTCACCAAGTCAACTTATGTATGAGATGCCTTATCTGGTATGTAGTAGGAATTCAGTAAATATTAATTCCCTTTTATGGCCTGTCACACAGCTCAAGAAAAAAACAAACAGAAAAATACTCACTGCCATTAAGTCAATTCCAACTCATAGCAACCCCTCATTGGATTTCCAAGGCTGTAAATCTTTACAGAAGCAGACCACCTCATCTTTCTTCTGCAGAGCAGCTAGTGGGAGTGAACTACCAACCTTTTAGTTACCAGCCAAATGCCTAACCACTGTAGCTCTAGAGCAGCTGAAATAAGGAACCCAGATGTGATTACTCCTTCCTGACTGCTAGGCTGTATCTTTATTCTGAATGAAAAGCCCAATTGAGTACTGCATGAATTCTTATTCTATATAAACACAATTTATTTTATAAGGTAAATATTTATAAACAATTTATTCTATGTCCTGGAGTATATAATAAATTAAATACTATTTAATTCACTGAGTATATTACAATGACCTGTCTTAAAAGAGTGTACATTATAATGTGAATGGATTAGCATTTTTCTCAATTATAGGGTAGAATATTACTAAATATCTTAAGTTTTCAATATAGCAGTTTTCCCAAAGAATAGAAGTGGGGACAGAGGATTTCCTTCCCAAACTAGTTGTATCTCTTTGCCTGTCCATAATACATGGCTCCAACTAATGCCAGCATAAGAAAACACAGAGCACTAGTGTAGGAGTCCTAAGATATATGTTCTAGTCCTACACCTGCCTTACTATTGGATGGCCTTGGGCAAGCCTCTCTACTCTATTATGTCTACATCTGTAAAGTGGCTAATAGTGTCCTTGGCCAGTGCAAATGGTTAACATTCTCATTGATAACTGAAAGGTTGGAAGTTTGAGTCCGCACAAAGGAGCCCTGGAAAGAAGGAAGAAGGCCTGGTGATCTACTTCCAACAAATCAGCCACTGAAAACCCTAGGGAGCACAATTCTACTCTGACACACAAGGAGTCACCTTGAGTCTGGATCAACTCAAAAGCAATTGGTTTTTTAAAGTGACTCAGTCTATGCTGTTGCTATTGTTAGGTGCCATCAGTTGATTCTGACTCATAGCTACCTCATGTGTCAGAGAAACTGCCTCACAGGGTCTTCTTATCTGTAATCTTTACAGAAGCAGATCACTAGGTCTTTCTACTGTGGAACCCCTGCCTGGGCTCAAACTGCCAACCTTTCGTTTAATAGCTGAGAGCTTAAACATTGCACCACCAGGGCTCCTTATTCAATCTCACAAGACTACAGGAAATCTGGGTTTTGGTGGAAGCCTGTCACTATCTTACAATGATTCCTTAGACAAGCGGCTTTTTAAAATCTGCACTATACAGGGGTTGAATTAGATCACTGTCCCAAAGAGCCACTTTGGGAAAAGGTAAGCAGGGCAAAGCAGCCCCTCTTCTATCAGTTTTCTTAGGTTTCTAAATAGTGTATCATTTGAAGAATAAGTTCTACCAAAAATCAAAAAAGTTTGACAGTTTTATCCGAATTTCTTATAATGTGTTTGTAACAGGAAATGAAATACAAGATAAATTTTCAGCAAATTCTTTGGAGAAAGAGGGTTTTTTTCTTTTTTTTACCTTGCATCCTTCACAAGCATGAACTCCATAGTGGAAGCCAGAAGCTTTATCTCCACAGACACGACATTCAATTGCCATGAGGGAGTTGGAAGGCTCTTCATGAGGTTTATTATAGAGCTGAGTCTTTTCAGAATAGTAAGGCGGGGAGGCAGGCTCCACTTTGATTGCACCTGTGCACAGAAACATGTGAACAGATAGTTATCACATGGAAAACAATGCTGGAAAGACAGTAGGGCAAGTTACCATAGTGTACCCCCTCACTACTGTATTTTTATTATTTAAATGTAGAACACTGCAGAACAGTGAAAAAACTCTAGAGTTAAATCAGGGGAGAGTAGGCTTTGTCTACAGGCAAGTCATAACATCTCTGAACCTCACCTGCAAAAATAAAGCAGGGAAGGGATTTAAGACTGTGGTTCTTTTCATCTTAAAATTAAATTGAAGGGTTATATGCTCCAACACCCTGTTATACTCATGCTCCAACAGACAACATTAGTGTTTGAGAAAAGTAAGTTTATCTTGCTAATTAATGTACCATATTTGGCATTCATCACAATATTAAATATTTTTATTTAAATGTTGCATTTTAGAAGTGTCTTTAAACAACTCTTCCCACAGAAACTCCTTTGCTGTGAAAAGGTAATGAATGGTCTGCCCAGTTTGAAGGGCCATGCAAAGTTAAGAGGCAAGGTTACCACGAGTGTTCAGTAGAAAGAAGTAGTTTGTAAAATGATCTTTGATAGAGAGTGTGAGAACTTATGGAAAGTAGCTAGTACTTTTCTACTGGTTAGGATCAGGCCTATTAAATTTCCATATTAGGCTCTAACTGAAAACCACAAAGATAAATATAACCAAGTATATAATTTATCTGGGGAAAAAAAAAAACCCACCAAAACCTAACAACAACAAAAACTAGAAATACAGGAAGTTCTTACTGTCAAGGAATGGTTGCCAGTTACATAGTGGTGGCTGTGGAAAACTAGCAACTAGCACACAGAGAGATAAAGCACCACAGAAATACATTGTATCTTGAAAAGTGCAGTTTTAGATTTTCTTGAGTCTGATATTTTGATGGAATTTTAGTTAATGGAATGGAGGTTTATCAATATCCTGTGATGACAAAATTTAAATTTGTGCTGAAAACTAGGCATCAATGTTAAGCTTCTCAAACTGCAGGATTAGTAAAAATGGACTACAGTGAGAATAACTCAGTTATAATAAGTTACATGTGGAAACCTGGAACTGTTACTAAAGCGTAAGTGGCCAAAAGAATTCAAAGTTTGGATGATGGACTCTTAGCCTGGGATACAACTGGCAATGCAACCATGCCAGAAAATGCTCCTAGGTAGGAAGAAAGGAGGAAGGTGGGAGGGAGGGAAAAGGGAAAGAATGATCTAAGCATTTACACACCACCTTCCTTTCTGGCACACAGTAAATATCTAATATTTCAAGATAAGTGGATGAATAAATGAATGGTAAATGTCTTCTCTATGCAGTTCTGGTCTTTAGAACATGTATTTCAGAGTTATTGAGATATGAGTGCAAGTCCAGTCTTAGTAATCTGAAAAGTGAAAATAAACGTCATACTTTGATAGTCTTGGAGCTTCAGGTCATACTTATAGTCAGGCACCATTGGGTCTGCTCTTGTGAAGGGAATGTCTTCATAGTGTGGAGCAGAAAGGCTGGAGAAATCAACAGTGGTGAAGGGCTTGATGTCAAAAGAGTGAGAGTGATCATCCATTACAGAGAGGTCCATGGAGCCAATTCCAAAGTTGGTGGGCCAAAAGGGCATCTCTGTGTCAACCATGGTAATTCCTGAAATGGAAACAAGAAGAGTCATGAAGTTAATCCTGGAGATCACAGCCATCTTCTGTACAGAGTAAGAACCAACAGTCCTTGGTAAAGTGACTAATCTCATCTAGGTTATTACAATGACAGAAGAGAACATAACCACCTCAGTGCTATCCAGGTTGCTTTACTACAGGAAGGAAATCACCCCTTACCTGGTTACCACAGCCTGACTTGGTTTACCTGAAACTGGGTCACTATTCAAAACTGGTATACTAAGGCTGGCGGTTCAAACCCACCAGCCACTCCTCAGAAGGAAGATGGGGCAATCTACTTCCATAGTGATACTGCCTCGGAAACCCAAGGAGGGGTCGCTATGAGTCGGGTCCAACTTGACGGCACATAACAACAACAACAATCCGTATATTAGCACAGATGTGTATTTAGTTGTTTTCACTTTAAATGTCCTGTAAATAGTTCTCCTCTCATTATCTTCTATAGGAGATCATCAATTACATCTGTTAACGCTTGTTTTTAAAGACCACGGGGTTCTAGGTCAATTATGTTGTTGTTGTTGTTAAGTGCCGTCGAGTCGTTTCCAACTCATAGTGACCCCATGCACAGCAGAACGAAACACTGCCCGATCCCGCACCAGCCCCACAATCCCTGCTATACTTGAGCCCATCATCACAGCCACCACGTCAATCCATCTCGTTGAAGGCCTCCCCCTCTTTCGTCGCCCCAGGGACAACTCAGGGACGCCCAAAGCAGCAGGCCAGAAGAGCAGGAGAAAGGGGATTAAAAGCCAGGAAGCCAGACAGAGGTACAGTCAGCCACAGGGACCCAGGTGGTGGTGATAAGAGAGGTCTCCAACAGCAAGACAAACTTGTCTGTTGGTTTGTCCTACTGTGGTGACATGTAGACGTGAGTTTTGAGGCTAAGCCTCTGGTGTTTAAAACCCAGCGAGATGCACCTGGTGCACAGGTAACAGCCCAATTTATAGACTGAGACAGACTAGGAAGAAGGAAGAGGCTGTCCACTTCTCAAAGAATTGGCCAGGGAAAACCTTATGAAAAAGGTCAATTATACATATCCTAAATACTGTTCTCTTTAAAATGAAAAATTTAATACTCTATTAATGCTTTTTTATAATAGAAAAGCTGGCTGTGCACTAAAGCTAAGTAAATGAATGAATTCTTTAATTGCATTAAAAAATAATTTTAAAGTGATACTAAAATACTGCAAGTAATATTAAAATGAATCTTTTTAAAAAGTGAAGATTCCCTTCTGTACTATGAAAACTTACTCCAATATTTATTTTTTTAGTGGATATTGCTTTTCTTAAAGAGGAGAAAGTTTTCCCAGTAATGAGGACAGAAAGGTTAGTAATACATAGAAGAATCTGATTATAATTGAGAAAATGTCAAAATCAGAATCTAGTCCAGTATTAATTATAAGAGTCCCCAAATGAAAACAAAACAAAGATATAGTAAAAAATGAAATAAATAAACAAAATACACTATGGGTCCTAAGACACAAAATAGCTATTTCATAAATTACCTGATAAAGATGACAAATGCCACGTGTATTTTCCTAACTTTGAATTGTGGTCACAGTAAGGGAACTAGCACCCTGACAGGTTCTGGTTCAAAGTATTTAATGTGGACTTGTGACCCACTGGAGGGTGTAGACTTGAAAACCTTCCAACTTGTTGATCTAAAACCAGTTCACTATTCACAAGTGGTGCCCAAAATCAGTCACTAAGTATTTTAAATGTAAGTCTTTGGTCAAAACCACTAGTGGAGAGCTGTGTGAATTTAGGGTTGCTGACTCTGAGATGAAATAAATGCACAGCTCATAAACCCCAGGACTCCAGGCATTGGCTCATCTGTCTTGTTTGCAGTCATAAGCCCACTACCTAACAAAGGGCTTGGCTCATAGTAGGTACTCATTCATTATTTATTTATTAAATATTAAACGAATTGACAACTAAATTTGATGGCTGTGAAATTTTACCAGAAGGGCCGGGGCGGGGGAAAAGTAAACTAATATTTATTGAGTACCTTCCAGTAGGATTCACACTAAAGGCTGACTTGGAAATCCTACTCTCTATTAATTCTCTTCATTCTCTCATTGATGAAAAAGGTTTATGGAGGAAGGACTGCTCTCCTAGCTGTGTCTGGGAATGGATCTCTTGCTTTTTCTCAGCATGAAGAGCACTAATGAAACTTCTCTGAGTAAAATGAATCTGCTATGTCAATCTGCACCCATATCACAACAAAAAATTAAAAATTAAGTCCTCAGAATATCGGGATAGGGTGAGGGGACGCTAACTTTTGCACGAGATTAAAGATTAAAGATTTCAACTGTGGTCTTCATTAGAAAAACAAAGGGTCTTGAAAGCACAAATAAAGAGAACAGTACTGTGCTCCAGTGGTGCCAGGAGGGTTCATTAGGCACCGTTTGGGTTCACATGTCTGAGTATCTACATAAATAAGCACCCAAATAATCTTAAATTATCTGTGTTACAGTGTAAATACTGCACACCAAAGAGAAGAATGTGTGCTTGCAGTAGCTTGAAGGTCATACTGGGTTCTCAATGACATCAGAAAAGAGTTTGTGCTCTTGACGACAATGGTACCAATCAAACTGTGTCCTGTGTTTCAAAATTCATCTAAACCCACCCAACTCGGGTCACTTTGCCCATCTCCTCAGCATGCTTAACTTTTCACTTCTCTATCCTTTTTATTTTGGATAAATGAGTTTCATATAAAATATACCTCTTTTGTCTAGACTGCAATAGCCATAAAGGCAAATTTATCAGATATTTCTCATTATGGCTATTGCAAACATCTTTTGCATACAAAATAAGGTTTGACTATGTGAGTTAAAGGAGCCTGAGTGTGTACGTGGTTTGTGATTGACTGCTAACATAAAGGTTTGCAGTTTGAACCCACCCAGTGACTCTTTGGAAGAAAGGTCTGTTGATCTGCTGTAAAAATTACAGCCAAGAAAACCCTACAGAGCAGTTCTACTCTGCAACACATGGGGGGAGGAGGACGGAGTGCTTGCCATGAGGCCTCACTCACTGGCAACGCGTTTAGTTTTTTGTTTTTAACCAACACATTTGGTTTTTCTTGAATTAAAGGCAGGGATAGGCTTCTGCATGAATATTGGAAATGAATACAAGGATGCCAAAAATACCTAGGTTGCAAGAAAAATTGGTCCTCATCATTTTGCTACTTTAATTTTGTTTCATTTTTAGCATGCAATTTCAATGACTCACTATCAACGAAAGCCATGCTTCTTTATGCTGGATCATATCCCTAGGGGGGCATCTATTTTATTTAAAGATTTTTGGGAAAATTTTGTAACATTAAAATAGTCACTTATGTATTAAGGAACAGAAGAAAAAAATCATGTGAAATTTTAAGATATAATATAAAACTCTTAAAATTTTTTGTACTTGTAATATACTTCATGGTCCCAAAATGTTATGTTTTCACTGTCCTCTACTTTTAAGGGCTAAGGAGCCCTGGTGATATAGTGATTAAGTGCTTGGCTGCTAATTGTAAGTTTGGCAGTTCAAATCCATGAGCTGTTAAGGAGAAAAATGTGACTGTCTGCTTCCGTTAATATTTGCAGCCTTGGAAAATTTATGGGGGCAGTTCCATTCAGTCCAACAGAGTCACTACGAGTCAGAATTGACTTGACAGCAATTGAGTACTGTTTTTGTTTTCTAATGCTGCTATAACAGAAAATACCACAAATGTTTGGCTTTACCAAATAGGGATTTCTTCTCTCACAGTTTAGAAGGCTATAAGTCTTAGTTCAAAGTGCCAGCTCTAGGGGCTCAGTGAAGGCTCCTCGACCTTGACTTCAGCTCTGCCTCTTGCTCTTGGTCCATTGGAGCTGGAGGCATCTTTTAACTCAGGCAGCTGGTGGCTACTGAGGCTGACAAACCCAAGGTCAACAAGTAAAGTGGCACAGTCCCAAGATTAGCACGCAACACGGCAGGCCAGTAGCTCAAGTCTAGAAATAGTCCCAAGATCAGCAGGCAACATGGCAGGCCACTGAGATGAAGACTTGGCCAAATGTAGGATCTCAATGTGCCAAAACCTCAAGATTCTTCTCAAAGTTTCTTCTTACACAATGGAAGCAGACCATATCCCTAAGGGAACTAGGGAACTACTCAGCTGCTCACAGAAGATTCCACCACGGAATTGATGATCAGTCTCATCATGGGGAATAACTATATCCAGCTGCCCAGCCTCTCAAAATCAGGCCCAGCCAAGTTGACACATAACACATTAAGGCCATAATGGTCCAAGACTTGGAGAAGCACTTACCTATAGGATAAATTAAAATAGGTCTTGACATTCAAGACCTTCCCTGGCACAGCCCTAAAATGTCATGGATCACAAAAGTCCAATCCACAATCGGTCATGAGGCAATGGTGCAGAATTGAGCAGCACTTTATTATGCTGTGCATGTAGTCATCAATGAGTCAGGGGTCAACTTGACAGCAGTCAACAAAAACAACAATTTTCCACTGCTTATCCCGGACCTCACTCCCTTTCTGGGCACATCCTGTGAGTAGGGGTGCATACTACTTGCCAGGTTAAACACGCTCTGCATCTTCTAGTCTGCTAGTCTTTGCTCATATTGTTTCCTCAGAGTGAAATACTCTCTTTCTTACCCCTTATCTCTACATGTCACAGTCATACTTGTCTTTCAAAGCCCAGTCCAAATGTCACTTTCTCCATGAAAACTCCCATGAATTCTCCAAGTTAAAAAAAAAAAAAACCTTCACATCCCTGTGTTACCAAAGCACTTTGTACCCATCTTTTAATTGTGATAGAATACTTGGATAAATGTATCCACTATTAGACTTCAAATTCTGGGGCAAAGGGTCAGTATGTTATCATTCTTTTTTCTCTTTAGTCCCTCTGCACAAAGTCCTTTATTCCTCTGCTGTTTACTCAATGCTTGCCAACTGAATATTCAAGTGTAGCATGAGTTTCCAT